TTAACTATTCACTTTTTTCAATCCCATCATGAAATTTATTTGCAAATACCCTAAAAACCTCCCTGAAAATTTGAATTTTCTTTTAGCCCTTATTATTAAGATTTAGGACTGGCCCAAAGCATTAAAATAAATTCATAGAAAATGCAGGACAATCGTGATTTTTTATCTTTAAATCTCCATGGCTCAGAGGCATTTTATGGCATCGCTTTGACTTTAGACGCATATTTTTCACGAGTCATAAAAGGTAAGAGAGTTTTAGGCTGTGCGATCTTAAGCTGGTCAGATACAGAAACAAAAATTTCAACAGCCAAAGTTAAGAATCAGATTAAAGTTTATAATTTTTAAATGTTAGTTGTTAAGATAGATGAAATAGTTTTTTTAATGGCAAAGAGTGAGTCTATTAGATCTAATTGAAATCAGGACATACATACTTATACGGCGGAATAGTTCGTTTAACTCAAAATTTGTTCTAGACAATTTAAAAGTAAGGGTAGTTTTACAAGAAATATTATATGTACCAAACATCTCCCTACTACTAGCGAGTGTCAGGAGATTTATAAGTTTTAAAAGGTTGGTGTAAGGGGGAAGATTTAAACTGGAATCAAAATGCAAATGATTTAAGGCAAAAAGTAAAAATTGTTTTTGAATGGAACTAACGTATCTGAATGGAGTTCAGATACCACTTACGCATACTCTAATATAGGCCGCACAAAAGATGTAAAAAGAATTTTTGTCGTAAGCGGATCTCTAAATTCTTTAAGCCAACGACTAACAAAACTAGCCTAAAGTTTTGTATTGCGTATGAAGTAGGGTCTACAGCTCTACGTGAAACGCACATCGTTTTACATTTTTTAAGGTTCAATGGCATGTCATTTCTATCACACCAAGAAACTAGGTTGTTTAAGTCTTTTTGCAACTGACACCTTTCGCTGTTTGAAGTAAACGTTTTAAAAAGTTTTACGTCATCTGCATATAACACAACTTTTGAAATCTTAACAACAGATGCTATGGCTACCTTSAGGAACGCCTGAAGGAACATTGATTATGTCAGAAAAAGTATCGTTAAATATGACTTATTGAATTCTATTACTAGGATAAGAAGCAACCCGTTTTAGAAATATTGGTTGAAAACTAATAAACTAACAAGTTTATTCAAAAGAATTGAATGGTTTACTTTATCAAAAGCTTTATTAAAATCTGTGTGTATAATACTAGTATTGCTCTTTTCCCTAAAGCCCGTTGACAAATGTGACACAAATTCAAGCAATGTATATACTGTAGATTTCCCTTTACGAAATCCGTGCTGAGAACAAGAAATTAGTGGAGAGATCCGGAAGGTTACGCCGTCTTTTATAATCGCTTCAAAAAGTTTAGGTATTGCAGACAACTTTGCTATTCCYCTATAGTTTTCAATAGATGACCTAAATCAACTCTTATGTAAAGGAATTATAAATGACTTTTTAGATATGGATGGAAATAAGTCTTGTATACGAAATGAATTAAATAGTTTTGTTAGGGGTTGGTATATATATTTGGCACATTTCTTAAGAAAGCACGAGGGAATCATATGTGGGCCATAATTGTATGATATATACATATTTAACTGATATAACACGTCTACTTCGGAAATGATAGGTGCATTAATGACAGAAATCGGACATAAGTTGTGCTGATGCGGAACATTTTTTGGAGATTTTGGAGCCTAATTGAATCTAAAGAATTCAGCGAACATATTAGAAATGGTGTGATTGTCACTAGACATACTGGACTTATATTTCAAAGCGG